TTAAACAAATTCCTATAATTAAAACAAGTTTATGTTTTCATAATAGCCGGCACAACTTGCACTTTCATTAAATGATTTATAATGGATTTAAAATAGCTTATTCGTGACTATGTTAAATTTGTTTAACGACGAACTAGTAGTTAGTTTACAGAAACCTGGCTACTACACCACGGGAACCGAACATATGTAACAGCTAGAGAAAAACCTGTTTAAACAAATAGAAGTAAGGGTGACTTACGAGCACAAAGTCCACCTGCAGTAGATGCTGTTGTCTTTAGACACCTACATTTATTCAGGATAAAATATCAAAATCCACATACGTTATCCCTGAGGACAAATTCAATTTCAATTGGTAAACATGATAGAAGATGAAATGTCTCTGGTTTCTGGGTTTCACCCACCATACGAAATACAGCAGCATTATGAAGAGCGCTTTTCCACGCTAGTACCCTGTGCGTGATGTGAAAAATAGTTAGTCGAAAATCGGCATGAGGAATTTCGTCAAATTTGTTTGACTGTATTCAATAAAGTTTGTCAACAATTTACTTCCTTTTCTTGGGACCGAGAATATTAAGCATTTAACGCAGTGTTGAAATAAAATCACAACGTAAGAATGTTATTTTTTTGACAAGCATCTTTTTACTATCGGCAACGATTTAAAATGATAATTCCTTTTCTAAAGTGTTGCAAATTATCCACTTGTTAGCCTCTTTAATCTGTTTTATTTATAAAGGTGATATGTGGAAACGCCATACAAGATGATTGACATAAAGTTTATTTTAATTCATTTTTGTCAACGACCTACAAGAGGAATTATTTACTCTCTCTACTAACAGCTACTGAATATCACAATATTATGTAAGCAGAAGTAACTATTTCTAAAGAAGTAAATGGATTCACCACATTTTATGAATTGCTACTAGATGGCGCTGTCATATACAGTGAATATAATATGTAACACGTATTTACGTCCTCTACTTCTATTATATTTATTATGTGCGTCTAGAAACACATATACATCAATCAGTGTTTAAATTTATTAGAATGCCACAAAAATATAGTCATCCTGATAGAGGATAGATCACCCGAAAATTACCAGATGTAAAAAAATGAGTAATTGCCAATAAGACATTCTGACTACGGAAACACTTTTATTAGCATTATAAACTTTACTACGGTACATTATTGGACGGCATAACGATTTAAATGGCCAAAGAGGTGACGATAACTATTTGGTAATAACAATTGTATGATTTATTGATTTGCGTTAAGTTAACAACCGACATAGTTTCTATAAACGCAAAAAAATTTTTAAATTATTTCATGAATAAATTCAGTTACAGCTTATCAAAAGCTCTTTGCTGATCACATACGTCTTCTTCATAGATTGCTTTACGGGGGGATATTTGGTACAGTTGCCACGCTTAGCAGATAAGTGGCGATTACAGCTTTTTGTTGTTTTGAGTTGTTATCAGAAAAATGTTACAGCCCATCTCGTGTTCCATTTCAGAAAGTTACCTCGTACGACACCCACGGGATGAGTGTGTTAGCGGTGTGATCACTACCACACGGCACAACGTTAAATAATAATAAATAGTGCGTAACTCACAGACAAAATAGGCCCACGTCGTTACAATGTTACCTATTTCTTGTTTTTCGGTAGAAAAAGGTAGCAAAATGTTAAATAATGTATAGACATCGTGTCATCGAAATATTTACTAGAGATGGGCCGAATATTCGTTTTATATTCGGTATTCGGCATATTCGGCAGCTTTACTGAATATTTGTATTCGGCCGAATATTCGGCTAAATCACCGAACATTCGTTTTCATAGTGTCCAATGTATTGAAATGTACGAATTGAGTAATGCGATGTCTTTTACTGTTCAAAGTACATTCTATTTGTAGGTTAAATCTACTTACTCTAAAGGTGCCTGAAATGCGTAAATGTATACATTTATGTTTTTGAGGCACTGTGGATTTATTTCCGATTATGGCAAATAGAAACTTGATAAAATGTTTTTTGGAATCAAACAAAGAAACATTACATTACATTAGTACATTTTACTTTACTTTGGTCGTCAGTTTCTCTAAAATAAGTCCAAATAGTAAATCTCTTGCCCCTCATTTTTATCATATAATTATCAATTTTCACTTCGAATAAAATTCTTACGGCTCTTTACCTTATTAACTAAGAATGAAGAAAGAGCCATGGTAGCTCAGATGGTTAGCGCTCGCTGTAAATTTCACAGTGCGCGACCAAACCTTGTTCGATCCCCGCTGGCACCAATGAAATTATTAATTGCAATTTTCAGTGCTGATTTACAAAAATTTTTGAAAATATCGTGAGGAAACTTGCATGTCTGAGAAATAAGAAAAAAATTATTTCAAAGACATGTGAAGTTCGCCTACAAGCATATTGGGGCAGTGAGGTGGACAATTCCTTGCCCTAAAACCCTCTCAGAAATGAGCGGAGGCCTGTGACCAGGAGTGGGACGTATATAGGCTATAACTTTAACTTTAATGAAACAACGAAATACTTTTTTATCACAAGAATAGTCAAAACATAAGCATGTGCCAGCAATTTGCTCAGTACTAGATAATGCAATAACATGTCAGGTGTGGCGGGGAGCGAGAGGCAGGGTCCGGCGCTAATCCCGTGTGAATATTCGGTTCGGTAAAAATTTTACCGAATATTCGGCCGAATATTCATATTCGGTGAAATCCATATTCGACACATCCGTAATATTTACTGGTATCGACGCATTACATCTTAGTTTTTAGGGTGGATAACGCATCTACATTATGATTTTTAACCGAGGATAAATGTAAGTGTATTTGGACCAAAGTAACCGATTAATAAAATCTACTAAAATATTTAAGACGACACATCGAAAAGGCTATCGGCGAACTGATCCGAGTGAATACATAATTTCTATAAAAACTAAAGAAACGCCGTCATAAGGTCTAAAATTGCGTAGCGTCCGCGACGATTAAAAGCGCTTAGAAATTGTCAGAATCGTAAAATATTTTTTAAAAAATTATTGATTTAAGTTATCAAAATAATGAGCAAGTAAAATATGAATATTGATGTTATGAATATATTTGAGTGATTTCCAAACATATAGAACAAATGATTTCGTTGTAATTTCAACTATAGTGATTTTTAGAGGTGTTTTCGCAAATAATTATGATCGAGTCAATAAATACAATCGTGTTTTTGAGCAATCAAATTCAAAATTTATATTTGTTTGATTCCAAAAACATTTTATCAAGCTTTCGATTTGCTATAATTGGAAATAAATCTACAGTTCCTCAAAAACATAACGCTACGTCATACGCATACTTCTTCTTTGTTTAAACCACTTATTAAATTCTTTTTAACTGTAAAAAAAGTGGCGATGCAGCCAAAGATACTTTACTATCTTGGCACTGGTTTAGCTCAACAAAATAATATCACAACATGACGCTTGATTTAACGTTCTATTTTTTTACCAGTGAGAGTACTATATTGAAAAAATTGTATAATGTAATACACTTATCCATATAAAAATTACAAAAAGAGGAAGATAGGCAGTGGTTATTGCCTGCCAGTGAGCTTTTCAAGAGAGTTTATGGGTAATGTTTTAACCGACTTCAAAAAAAAAGGAGGAGGTACTCAATCCGACCGTATTTTATATGTGTGTAAAACCTGTCTGTAGCCTGTATTGTTTGTGTACTTTTTTTAGGTAAACCGATTTTGATAATTTTTTTTTATTTGAAAGCTGATGCTTCTCATGTGATCCCATGTAAACTTGATCAAGATCTGACTTGTAGTTGGTTGAGTTATCCTTAATAATGCGTATTTAATTGACTTCGACTACATTGATGATGTTCTGATTTTATTTAAATTGAAGTCGGTTGTACAAAATTTTTAATTTTACCACTTGTTTGATTGGTGATTCTTGATTTTTACAAAATAGAATTTCCAGTCAGCTATGTTACACTATGCCCACTAGCAACGCGTAGGGCCAGATATTGGTAGTGGCCGGTGTGCATCGCATGTGAGCAACTCAAGAAATCTGTATGCATTAATCCCCGATGGCTGTACATAAATATTGAATATATAGGGAAGCATTAGTATAAGAAATAACATCTAAAAAAGAAAAAAAAAGGTAAACTATCTTTTAGACTAGACGAATGCAAGCTATTTGCTCCACAAAAGCCACTTTCGTTAACTTCAGCGTTTTCTAATTGAGAAATGCCTACGCATATCCATCCCGCGGGAGCATATACTGGTTATTCCGAACTAACAGCTTATTGTGTTCCATCTTCGCTCAATAGACAGGCCCCGGCTACGCTTTGCCATACATCCTCGAAAGAGAACTTCTCCTCTGCTTTTCTTTTCCTCGGACATTTTTATAGTACGTTCACGCATTTTATACATAAAAAATTGGTTGACCCTATGGGCTATCGCTGGAACTTCCCGCTAATTTCCAATGCAAAGCGCTCCAAATTTCACCAAATAATATTGCGAAATCTCGAAGTTATATTAAAAAAAAGTTTTTATTCTAACACACAAACGCACACGCACACGCACACGCACACGCACATGCGCGCACACGCGCACGCACACAAAAAGATTCTAACACACAAACGCACACGCACACGCACACACACACACACACACACACACACACACACACACACACACACACACACACGCACACGCACACGCGCACACGCACACGCACACGCACACGCACACGCACACACACACACACACGCACACACACACACACACACACACACACACACACACACACACACACACACACACACACACACATCCGTACGGACGTCCACGTCAGAATAGCTTCTTGGCATCTCAAAAACTTCCCTATTTTTGAAAATTTTTCAATTGTCTAGCGGTAAGTTAAAAAATTTCATTTCTATATACTAATAATGTTACGTGTATTAAATTGTGGATGCAGCTAGTAGTATAAATAAAAAAATACTAACTCTGGACTCTGTCTGAAGTGGTCGACAGCGAATTGAAGTAAAGGATGTCTTCCATCATGTTGTGGTGTCAATTGTTCCCTTCTTTCTTCTCTTCTTTCTTCTCTCATTTCTCTTTCCATTTCTCTATCTCGCTCCTTTTCTCTTTCTCTATCCCTTTCTTCCTGCTGCACAGGTGAATTGATCTGCGTTCTCCTTTCAACATGTTCTGTTTCATCCCTCGACTCTCTAGACTCTCTCGTCTCTCGAATTTCCCGAATTTCCACAGAGTCCCTCGATTCCCGCGACTCCCTCGACTCTCTCGACTCTCTCGACTCCCTAGATTGCCTTGTTTCCCGTGTCTCTCTGTTTTCACGTTCCGATGTGCGATCCTTTGTTGTAATACCATTTGTTGTAGGCTTTGGTTGTATCTGAAACAAATAAGAGCCAAATTTAGTGTCTACGCTCATACATAATACAATCTAAAATTATGTTTTTATATATGTATGTATGTATAAAATACAACTTTATAATATCTAAGGATTTTATTTATAATATATTTTATTAAGAGTATGTCTATGTAAGAGAATTTTCAATGCTCTATGGTTTAGATATTCTTACTATCAAATGGTCAATATTTTCATTAAAGAGAATCAAAGCTTCGTTTTCTTTGACTTAAAGTATTTCTATTTAAATTTAAAAACGAAATAATTTTTCATTTATAATACATTTATTATTTGTCTACGTAACGGTGACAAAAGACAACACAGTCAACCCAATTGTAGGTGGATGCTGTTGCCTATAGACTCCAAATCCATCTATCCTCCATTAACGGGAAATATAACCTCAAATGGTTTAGAAATATCCTCCGTTATGCCGAAAATATTGCAGCATTAATTTTGAAATAAATATATGGTAAAGTTGAGGATTAATGTTAAGTACTATGTTAGACGAAAACATGATTCCGTAAAATTTTCTCGATGGAAAAAAATCCAAAGTTACCTCCAAACTAAACAAAAAACCGCTGTTATAAAATATTTTAAATAAGATCATGAAACTTTGCATACTAACTGAACTAACTATAAAGCAGGGCTTATGTCTTTTTTTTTTACCGTTATTTTCACTGTAAAAAGAAATTACCTAAACTATCGGCGTCCTAAAGCTTGAAACAAACTTCAGGATAATATTTGCAATATTTTCGGTATAACGGAGGATCTTGCTAAGCCATTTGAGGTTATATTTCCCCTTAAGGATTAAGACTCTAGAACTAATTTGCAACCGTGAACTCAAAAAGGTCGTGGGTTCGCATCCGCCATTCGACTACTGGCGTGAACCACTCGTAACACAAGCAATTTAAGCTTACCACGAGTGGTTAAGGGGAATATTAGTAATGTTTATAGCATTGTTAATATTCTTTTTTTTAAACTTGTTCGAGTGTAGTTCTTCCTGTTCTAACCGGGTTAAAACAGCGTGGCTCTACCATGTATTAATGATTTTATTATTCCTTACTGTGAAAATGATTTCATTTCTTTCATGTGAAAACAAACAGGCATGCCAACACTATAACTCATGTATTTAGAGCTAAGTTAAAAAATTATGTAAAACAGATGCAATCCATTTATATTCATGAATGGAATACTGAGTAATTGTTCATAATGTTATTTGTTTAAATTTAAATTTTAGTGATGGGTTTTAATAAACGATAACTGTAATAAAAAAAAACATATAAAAGTGGTTTACAACTTCTTTTCAGCCGTCTTCAAAAAAGAGGAGGCTAATTCGACTGTATGATTTTTGTATGTATACCCGTGTATTACATATGTATGTATATGTATGTGTATATATGTATGTATACCCGTGTATTACACGTCGTCTTCTTCAATCTATGAAACGATTTTTGTGGTTATTTTTTTTTAATTTTTAGGTTATACTACAGAGGAGCTGCATATGAATTGAAAAAATTCACCCCAAAGGGTAGCAAATACGGGTGAAGTTTTCACGTAACTATTTAGACGAACTTGACATTGATATATCTTAGTCCATTCGGAAGTATTAACTTAAAAAAATATTAAAGCCAATTGCAAAGAATAAATAAAAATAATAAAATAATTTTATTTTGAATTCGGGGTTTTACTTTTTATTAACCTTTTTTTTTATAAATTAGTATTTAAACTGCTACTCCTCTGTCACATCATTCGCAGGTTAGTATCTGTGCTTTAAACATTAAATACTTTTTTAGGGATTTTGGCGGGAACTTGGCCGTCAAGGGATTGTTGCTCCTATTTTATTGTTCAAATAACGGTTTGAAGTGGATGTCGATACGTAAAAATGATACAATTTTGTGTATTATTTGCTGGTTAACTTTGCACGTGCGCCTTAAGAACTTGGGTTACCGTCGCCATCGACTGTCCGCTGGGTTGAGATATCGTCAAAATCTTCCAAAAACTTGTCAATGTGACGCATCAGCATATTGTGAAGAAAAAATCTATAAATACCAAGACCCCGAATAAAATGAAAACATGGCTTAAAAGACAAGCATCCAAGCCAAAAATTGTTTTCTAAAATTAAATTCCAATGTTACTGTGGCCTTAAGGATTTCAATATGCATCTGAAATATCAACCATCCAATACACAACTGAAAACATAGTCTGCAGACAATATTTTGTTTCGTTTCGCCGTTCATTCATTGATTTTAGTTGCAAAAGCACAAACTTTTACACGACACACTATTAATATTTTCCGAATTATAATATAAATTTATAATCCTTATTCCTTAGCAACGCGTTAAGATGAGAAGTCACATCACTACATTTCTCAATGAACAATTAAAAGAAATATTGAAGCGTTAGCGGCACTGACTATGTGTTCAAGAAAGCGTGAACAGAGTGCATGGTCCGAGGCGCCTACGGCCTACGCCTTGATGAATGATCCCCTCAGTGCCTGCCTGTGTGTTTGTTACATGAGTACAAAAGCAAATTCGTATATACATATATAACTTAAGCTTAACTCGTATGACCGCATATTAAAACGGAATAAATTTTTTATAAATTGCACAAGTTTGTTACTATGGCCTATACAAGCAATTCGTACTATAAGAAATTTCTATCCATTTAACACTAAAAAAGCTATATCCTATTGCTGTTTGATGGTGACTGGAAATATTTAAAAAATTTACTACATCTCGTCCCGACAGTGACGTATAATTCGAGAGGGGAAAAATCGTTTCAAGATCCAACATAAGGTTCAACCATTATTAAGATAGAGGCTCTGCTACTGTGCTGTGCAACAATTAAAATTGCTGTGTTTTAAACTGTGTTTTTCTTGTGTTTTTCTTCCCAATGTTTTTGCTGATGTTAAATTATTAATGATTTCCATTATTGTTATTTAAGTGTATATAAACTTAGTTTTTACTCAAACGAATAATTTAAAGAACGTAAAAAAGACTCCAGTAAAATTTTATCACGAAGATAACAAATGAAATTAATGTTGAAGAATTTTAGAATAATTGTTTGTAGTCCTAAATAAAGAGAGCAAAATAAAGATGATCTCCTGCTTCATCACCTTCGTCGACTGTTACAACACGTACGAATTAACTTGAGACTCCGCTGGAATGCGACCCCCTTCCCGACTCCCCGCACCGTGTCCCGCGCTGGCCGTGCGCGCTCAGTACCGATAGCATTTTTGTTACGGATACGCGTCTCGACTCTAGTTCGATATTTTTGATAATTGTTTGTTGTTTGGTTTGGACTTTTGTTTGTTTTTGTTATATAAGGTCGCCTGTTATGCTTTGTATTTTTATTGTGTACGAATCTGTAACACTTTTTATAGTGCAATAAAGTGTATAATAAATAAATTAATAATATTATAAATGAGAAAGTGTGTATGTTTATTTCTTTGTCCTTCCTTGACGCGTTAACTAAAAATAATATTATATATATTATAAAAAATAAATATTTAAAATATATAAAAATGGCAACAGTATATCATTACTTCAACCCTTGCCAGAACATTTTATTTTGTTTTTATTAATAATCTCATGCAAATCTCAAAAATTTCAAATAAAAAAATATTACGACGCATTATTTTGCACACCGTACATTGATAATTACGTCATCGGCCCAGGTCTCAAGTTAATTCGTACGAGTTATACGATACCATGGGATAATACGAGGTAATGGATTTTCTTATGCCGTCATTACACGCCGGTCACGAATTTACGCTAAGGTGAATTCGTGACGTCACAATCACTAAAATATACACACATTAAATATAACAAATAAGAAATCAGATTTAAAAAATACCGAAGAAAACGTCATATAAACAATAGAATAAATATGCAGCACTCTCATGTACGTAATTCATACTTTATTGTTGTAATGCTTTGGACGTAGCATTTGAATACAAGCAACGATATTGTTTTAGGTATCAGAGCATCGCAACGTCCGGTATATCACACACCGAACCTACTCGTAAGTTTTATAAGCTTTAATACAATTCGTATGGGATTAGTACAAAGTTTCTCGAGAATAATTTAACGTTATTGTTTATGATAATTTTCAATTATTCTTCTTAATTAGAACTAGCTGGTACCCGGCGCATTGCTGCCGCAGAAGAAATAGTTGTAGAAATATCGTTCCAGATTTGGAAAAGTTATATAGTTTAATTAGGGAGAACTATATATTCATTGAAATTGAATGACTTAAGACTTTCAAATAAATTAGTCGGTACGGATGACGCGCCATCTACAGGAAGTAAATTTTACTATGCCTGTAACCCTCGCGCAAGTGTAAGCAATAAGCTGACAAAGTTTTAGCGCCATCTGATGATCGGTAAAATAACGTTTTGTCAGCCCGTTGATTTGAGATCACACTACCAGAGTCAGACGTCTTACAACTTTGAAACAACACTCCACCACCGATCTGAAGATTTTTTACATGGGGTATAATATATGAGATGGTCCGCCGTCTATCAGAGCCATGAGAATTTACTGGCGTTCAAATTTAAGTGTTTCTGACTTTCTTGCACTTTGTTCTCAGGACAGAAGTTTTTGTCGACCAGTGATAAAACTAAAAAAAAATACTTACTAATATACTTAATAATGACTTAATAAATAATATTGAGTAAAAAAATTCCTATGTATTCCATTCTATTACATATAGTCGCTTTCTACGACACCCACGGGATGGTTGTGGATGTTTTATATGAACAAACAGTACAACACAAAATCATGAAGTAAATAACATCCTTTTGTTTACATTTAAATCAATCCAAGAAATTCCTCTCGGGACATCGATTGACGATATATACGAGTATGTTACAAAGAAAACGATTTTTTTCCCTAAGTAATTAAATAGTTGACTAAAAAGCGCTATTTATAAGCAACAATTTGTTTTCCGTTATTATTTGACAATTGATGCAAAATTAAATAGAA